AAAGTAGCGCCAAACTCCAGAAACCCTTGTGAGGCAAAGATTGGGCAATCTTTGCATGAACCCCCTTTTTCTCCCTCCATCTTGTCTGCACTCTCCCTGTCAGCTGATGCACCCGTCTGCTGTCCGTCCGTACATCCCTCAAGCACGGGGCCAAGTGCTGGAGCCAGCACCACGCTGGCCGTGGCCCCCTACACCTCCTCCTACTCCACCACCTTCACCACTGACCAGCCCCTGGTCGCTGCACGGCACTCACTTTTGCCTGAGGAGACACAGACAGCTAGCAGCCTGCCCCGTCAGGAGAGCAGGTGAGAATCCTCACACTAGGACATCACCTGTGTAGCTATTTACAAGCTGTACTAAATTAGCAGACCTGACAATAGCCATGATTTGCACATATATAACTGGGATGTTTTTAACTCTTTGGTTGCTGTGATAGTTTTGTTTCTTGCTGGTCCGGCTGGCTTGTCGTTGAATGCACTTGCATATATAAGTTCTGCCTTCTCATCCAAAGCGATTGGATGATTACTGCTGTGTTGCTCTTGGCTTTGCTGCACATTTATGTTGTTCATCTCATGTTTCAGTTTGTTGTTGCCTATTGTTTTTATTTCTTTCTTTATTCTCTTTTTGCTTTTTCACACTTTGCTGAGCCTAAATTTAGCTCGTTTTTCTGCTACAGAGTAACATATGTAAACAGCACCAACAAAGTGTGGCTTAATGTGGTAAAATCTGCATTTTTCTAACCTTATTCACAAAAGTATTTTTGTACTTTTGTCATGGACAAACGTAAGGCAGGCAGCCAGAAGCGTCATTGGTGTTGAGCATTAAACATTTATGAGACTCGGGAATCAAAAATGTGTTTGTGTCCCAGCTGTTTTGGGGGGTGGGGTTCAAATTTTCAGCTGGACTCAATAGAGCTCAAAGAAATGACACTGAAACTGGATCTGGACAGCTGCAGCTTTTCATGCTGTGCTCCAACCTTTATTTTAAATGTTCACATGCTGCATATCTTTCCTTCAAAGAGTGAGGTCTCACATGTGTTAAACCTCTCTAGGAAATGCCAAGCTATCATTTCACTTGGAAAACCATTGAGAAGCAGTTATGCTGAACCGGTGTGGAAATGCTAGTGCTCACCCCTTTGTTTTTCAGGCCTCACCCAGTGAAGCCAATAACCTCTAGCCAATCAGAGAAGAAGGAGGGTCGTTCAGTTCTGGAGAAGCTCAAGTC